TGTTTACCAGTTAAATTGTATATGGTTAAGTGCATAAGGAATCTAAAATCATAAAAGTAAAGACAACTACTCTAGACCTAATAATTTTACTTGATGTTCTGAACGAAGACTACATATCTATGCTGTATAGATGGAATCACACAATACCATAGATTGAAACCGTCAGAAAAATATGACTCAACATTACAGAATCATGATGGACTGAATAAAAAGTAATCATAAATCAATTTAACATTTCGTTACTTGACAATCATAATAAATTGACCGCTAAAGAAGTCAGTGACCAATACCTGTTTTATAGATAGGCTAATGAAACTAAAAATAAAACAGTTTTTTAATGGCTGTTCTTATGTCGAGTACACATAACTTATTTTAGCTTCTGCACAAACCAATTTATCCGTTCTTTTCAAGCATACATTTTGACATTGCTAACCATTCACTTATCAACCCTGACTGTTTTTATATGAGCGTATATGTGTACATTTCTTATCTTACTCATCACATGCATGTAACCAACTTTTGTTCGTCTATAAATATCGATTGACGCTTGATTAAATCGAATTGGCTCACACTCCTTCTCCACTGTGCGTTATTTAGCTTCGCTCCTCTCAATCTCTCTCTTCTTCGCCTCTTTTGCCCCGTTTCTCTGATTGTCTGTGTCGATCAACTATTGTACAAAATATACATATTCAAACTGCATTCTTGTATTTGACCTATTTCATTCCGTTATTCACTAACACGATTTAAGTCAATAATTCTATACGAGGATAACCATGATGTATATTTCGACAGCAATCATTCAATAACTATCATTCATACTATATTAATTGGAGTCAGATATTGGGCCACTAAAGTTTCATCTCATTTCAGCTGCTCTTTGAATTCCAAAATGACATTTGTGTAAAATTGTTTTTTCAAAAAAATGATAATCTCCCATATGATTTTTTTAAAAAGTTGACAATGTCTATATTGTAGTAACTTAGAGATAATGAATTATTTTTGTCAAATGTAATTAAATTAACAAAACAAATGTTTATCTGAAATCACATTAATTCTTACATACGGATACATGATTCCTTAAAAACAATAAGATGTAAATAATGTTTATTATATCTGTCTAAATTGTTAAGAAAAAGTAATAATGGGCATAAATTCCAAACAATTTTGATAGAATATGATGTTATTACTATACAGAGTTGTAACCTAAATATATACAAATGCCTAAGTAGGGTACCGATATATAGAAGATAACTTTAGATTCTTAATATATTGATCCAAACATAGTATTGACATGAATTGAAAATCACCTTGGCAAGGTTTTAACTAACTCATTCAGAAAACAGGTTTGTATGTGGATAGTTCCTGGAAGAGAAAACACTAATATTACAAAGTGTATTGGGATTTTAATTAATCAATAAATTGGCTGAAATCTTCGTAAATTATTTATGTTATCAAAGTGACGTCATATTAATTCTTCTATATGAACATATAACATTTGTCTCTCAAACTCTTTTAAAGACAAAAGAGAATTTTAAGAGTCCCTAGATTGATCCTGGGCTAGGAATTAGTGTTATTATTTAGGATTAGAAGTTAGTGTTAAGAATTAGGGTTAAAGTTTACATCACGAACCGATGTCAGATGTAAAGTACGATAGACACTATCAACACAACCTAACGCAAAAATGCATTTACTCAAGTTCCCATACCTTATTAGCACGACGTATGAAAATGCCAAAAGAGATAGGAATACTGTAAGACTAAACCTTGTGAACATGATTAGTTTAGACGAAGTAGAAAGTTACAGATGAAAAAATACGGGAATTAAAAATCGATGTGAAAGTAGAGTAAATGCATCTGCTCTTTTTCGAATGATTCTGAGGGATCTAATAGCAGGAAGTAGTAATTAATTACCTTGCCCCTAACCACTCATTACTAGCCCAAAAAGTTAACTAACTGACCCACATTGACCTCCAAAACAGCCCAGATGGTGGTACAAAGGTGAACATGAATGGTTAGAAATGAATAATGTACACCAAGGTTTCATTTGTTGCTAACGTGTACAAGAAATTCAGTTCCGTAACACTAAATAGTTCTAAATAGTTCTACTATCCACACTTATAATGAAAAATATTGAAATCTCTTGATGGTGGAATAAACAAGAGTTCCATAACATGAATCTAAATGTATTAGGTACATACAACAACAAATAACTTCATGTTTACAATGAACAGTTGGTTAGATACACTTCTAATAGCTTGTTTGACTTAAAAAACTTTGATATTTTACTTTAACAGGTTAACTAGTTAATTTCTGAGCAGACTTCATTCATTTCACTACAGAATTAATCAATATGTAATTGCATTAATTACATCTGAATACAATCAAATAACTAATAAATTACTTTTTATAAATTTACTAAACGTTTTATATTTACTTAACCCACTTTACGAATGGAAGGATAGGAAATGATACAGAATATTGTACAATAGCATATATTCTAGCACTTCTACTTATATGTATTAAATCAGAATATTTAATTAACTACAAGGAATTAATAAAAAGTATGGTAAAATTAAGTGATAAGGTGAATATAACAATTTTGTTTATAAATCCCCATGATAAAGCATGCTTTCCAATCTGTTCACACTAATGAATAAACTTATTAAACCTACACTTCACATGCGATGTGATCAAATGAAACTTTGTCTCAGACTGTTCGAAAATTTTATTTCATTGTACAATTAACTTGACCCCGGTTAATAATTTCTCGTTGTTCTTTTGAATTACTTTAGTCGGTTGTATGAATCAATGAAGATTTTGCTTATTGAATTTATTCAAACTATTGAGGATATTTATGAAACAAATGCATTAGATGCAATAAGATCTTATAATACTTTGTCTTAAACTGTCCGAATTTCTTATGATATTGTTCTGTTCATATTTATTGCACCTTGTTCTTTCAAGTCACATGATTCAATTGCATAATATGGAGGAGAACATGTTTTCTAAATTGTTCACACTAATGAATAAACTTGTTAAACCTACAAGTCACATGAGATATGGTCTGACGAAACTTTGTCTCAAATTGTTCGAAAATTTCATTAAATTGAACAATTGTTTTCATTAATTTCATCACCAGGCTCTACAGTTATAAATCCATAATTATTATGGTAATTTTACAAAGGTCAAAATATGGCATGTATTGGTCTTTGTACTTTAATATTTTCTGTAATTTAGTTCACTTTATTTAAAAACATAATTCATATTGTTCTAAATATAATTTCATACGAACATTTCCATTATCTTCTTTAATAATTCAATAACACAGAAAATTATCAGAAGGGGTTTTGTGGAGATTTTAGGAATTTCAAAAGTTCAAATCCTGAGTCAATTGGAGCTAGACCACAATGGAAAATCTGGGAACACTGAATGGCCGTTTCGTCTCACCATGGGACTCCTCAGCAGTGCGCATCCACGATCCCGCACCCCGCGAGATTCAAACCAACGACCTGTCAGTATCGCACGCTAGCGCCTAACCTCTAGACCACTGAGCCGGCATCCAACAGTGTTAATGTCTAACTCCAACCAATCCACGAAATTGCGCCAACGTACACCATTGTTTTCAGTGAGCTAATATCTCGAATTTCGCGTGGGGGTGGGATCGTGGATGAGCACTGTTGAGGAGTCCCACAATACAATGAAACGGCCTTCCAGTACTTCCAGGTTTTCCATGATGATCTAGCTTCAAATGAGTCATGGTTTCAACCATTGACATAGAAAATTGTAATTTACTTTATCAATAAAAATGAAAAGATAATTCAAGTGTGAAATTTTTAAATTATGGAATGACCTTGAAAACTAGATAAATTATTCCATTTGAACTTAATATATTCATGATATAAATAAAATAATTTCATTATATATATATATATATATATATATATATATATATATATATATATATATATATATATATATATATATATATATATATATAGATAGATAGATAGATAGATAGATAGATAGATAGATAATGTATATTCATACTGCAAATATATGGTAATGACCTAAAGTTAGGTAATTTATTCTTTTATCTTTGTTAATATAAATACACTACTGGGTTATATTGTTTTACTGATTATTATGTATTCACATGAATTTAGGATATTTTTTGAAATTTTTTCATTTTACAATTAATATAATGGAAGTCATTCGAACTGTGATTTATTTATCTAACCGATAAAAACTATTGGATAAATTGATGTAATGGGAAGAATAGTCAAAATTCGATTGATTTACTTATTATGAATTATGTTCAACATGACTTCCGTTTTCATTCAATATAATGATTATTCAGTGTAGTAGTTGTATCAATCAAAATGAGTGTACAATCAATATATAAATGAGTGCATTTTCGATTAGGTTCGTCTTCGTGGTTATGTTTTTGGGTTAATAAACCTTCACTTATACCAGTCTTTGTGTTGTTACTTTCACGTCGTGAGAATTGCAGAGGCCCTTCGTTTCGAGTATAAGTGATAAACGTTTCCGACACAACAATAAGCAACTACCAAAACAAGCAAGAAGCATTCAGACACAAGACATATCATAAAGTATGCAAAATATCTATTTATAAATAAGAACTTTCGTCTAAATTTGAACGAATAGTTTCACAATATTTGGGCGCCGAGTTAATTTGAGACATTAAAAAGAAGAATATATTTGTAAAATCTCAGCGAATGAATTTTAAGTAAATCCAACGTTTCGCCTGGCAATCTGGTCCAAGCTTTTTCAAGGAAAATATAATCAAACAACAAAATTATCGAATATAAATAGGTACATGGTTCTTCGGTTTACTGTACACTGAATAAGTCATCCAATCGACGTGAAGGATTTCTTTATAAATAGGTATTTGTATTAATGTGTAAGAGACATGTTTATATGAAAAATAATAAAGGTCAAACAAATAAAATAAAAGTTCATTTGAAAATAATGAAGGGGAGAGAAAGAATAAGAAATTGTCATGTTATCCTAGGCCATAGAATGACTTAAGGATTATAAGGTAAATTCAAGGTTATGACAAATTGTTTTGTATGTGTTATGGAACCAAAACGTGTTAAGATAACAGAATGTGTTTATACGCAAGTGATATGAGAAAAAATTTTCATTCAACTTAATATTGACTACGGTCTGTGTATATTAAGAAAACAAATCATTTTTATGTATGAAATGAATCAAAATGCTACAGCCTGCATTAAATGAAGATAAGTAAACAAAATAAATAAACGAGGAATGTATATGTAATTGAAGTGTGTTATTTTAAAAAATGTTCCAGTCAATTGTTTAACATATTCAGATAAGATAACGGATTTGAATCATTGAACGTATTATCTATCAATTAGTTACTATGGCATAAATATATCAAATGGCAAAAAGGAGATCAGGTTTACTTATTAATTATTAGTTGCCATGGTGCAGCTAGTTGTATTCCATCTCTCCTATTAATATTGTTTAAATTAGCCCATATATGTAAGGCTTCAGCTGTTAGGCGTTCTTTGTAAGAATTAAATCCTTTTTGAATGATTCTCGTGCCATTGAAATCAACTGTATGACCCGATTCAATTGAATGTAATGCTATCGCTGATCTGTTCTCAAGCTTTTTTACATCAATTGAGGATTTAGGAATATGCTTTAAGCACAGTTTGTGTTCTTTCACCCTCACATTCAGTTGTCTTGATGTTTCACCTACATACGTTGCATTACAATCATTACATTTGATTTCATAAACACAATTTTGTTGATCATCCTTGTGTATTGGATCTTTGATTCTTACTAGTTTTGATCTTAGAGTATTGTTTGTTCGAAAGAATACTCTTATATTTTGACGAATTAAAATCCTTCTGATGTCTTCTGAGATACCTTTACGATATGGGATCACTACTGTATTCATCCAATCTTGCTTAACTCTTTTTTTAAAAATATCATTCCGTTCTTCATTCTTAATTATTCTTTTAATAAAACCTTTCGGATAATTATTCATTAATAGAGTGGATACAACTAAATTCATTTCCATTTTTATATCATCTGGTTCAGTGACAAGTTTTTTGACTCTGGTGATCAAATTTTTGGCCACTGTCACTTTGGTCGCGTGTGGGTGCGCAGACTTAAAATCTAAAAATTTCCCTGAATATGTAGGCTTACGGAATATATTAATTTTTAAAAAATCATTATCCTTCCTTTCAACCAGGCAGTCTAGAAACGGTAATCTGCGTTCAGTCGATTCCAACTCTTTAGTAAACTTGATTTTGTCATCTAAGCTGTTGAACCGTTGGAATAGTTCGTCTAAACCATCTCGTTTTATGATGACAAAGGTATCATCTACGTATCTTACCCAAATTTTTGGTGGAATGGAACACATTGAGATAGCAATTGTTTCCAATGAATGCATGAATAAATTAGCCACAATTGGAGAGACAGGTGATCCCATAGCCACACCTTCTGTTTGTCTGTACAAAACTCCTCGAAAAATGAAAACCGTTGAATGTAAGCAAAGCTCCAACGCTCTAATAATGTCTGTTGGGTCTAGACGGCAACGCTGTTTAAGTTCAGTGTCAGAATCTAACAGATTATATACAATATCTAAAGCTTTTTTAATAGTAACATTAGTGAACAATGAGCAAACATCAAAACTTGCCATTATTTCATCATCTATCTATTTTGCTGCTTTATAATTACTTTAATTTCATAAACTTAAAAGTTATCATTTTTGTGTGTTATTAGTTTATGATAAATAAATTAGAGAGCATTAATTTATCAGTTATGATCATCATCATCAAAAGAGTACAGGTATTTATAAACAACTATCTACTTAAAATATTCAATGTCCGTTGTTAGTTGGATATCATTAGTGTTATGTCCCGATGAGAATAATGAACGGTAACTTCTGGGATTCATTTATGGACCAATACTATACGTACATTTTTATCGTATAATGAATAGCAACTGAAACCAACTGGAAATGATTGTTCACGACAGAATTGGATGGAGAATGTTGGTGAGAGGCTTATGCTTCTCTACAATGGGTAACTGAAGCAAATAACTAACTTATCAGTGGTAAATATTTTAAGGGTATTCTCTAGCCTAAAGAATTAATATTTCTAATTAATGTTTAATAAGCCAATAATAAAAAAGTGGTAATTACACTATAAAATTAAGCTCAAATATATGATATTTAAAATATATTATCACAAAAATAATAGTTTGTTATCATTTGTGAGGAGTGAAAATATCATTAATTAGTTAGTTATCAGTTCATTTTGAGATAACTAGTATATAGTCAAGGTAATTTATCAAGCCGATTAAAATTATGAAACATATGCTGTGAACTAAGTTATTTGTAAACATTGATTTTATTTTTAGGGATGATCGAAAGAATCTTGACAATACGAAAAACATTAAACTATATAATCCTAATTCAATTTATGAAACTAGAAACCTTTCTTATACGAATATTCGTCAAGATTAGAACGAATAGTTTGACAGAAATTGGGCGCCGAGTATAAAGAAGACATTTTATGTGTGAATTAAATTTGAAATAATCTCAGCGATTGAAATTTAAATAATTCCAATGTTTTGTTCAGCCAAATTTTCTGGCCTTCTTCAGGGTATTAGTTGAAATCAATGAGCACTGCTGAGGAGTCCCACAATAGGACGGCCGTCGCATACTAGGACGAAATGGCCGTCCAGTGCTTCCAGGTTTTCTATGGTGGCCTAGCTTCAATTGACTCATGAACTCAACAATTGAAATTTATTGCTTCTGTTCATTAAATTTTTTACAACATTGACTTTCGTACACTGCGCGTGAGCCGAACCATAATCTTTCGGAATGTGTTGATTTCCTGAGTACATTTATTCTTAACTTATTATTATTATGTCTTCGTTCAACCAAACAATCGAGAAACGCCAGTTTGTGGTCAATGGATTCTAATTCCTTCTTTAAAGTAATGCTTTCTGAAATGTTGTTTACATTTTCAGACAACTCTTCTAAGCCATCCTGTTTAATGATAATAAAAATGTCATCTACATACCGTAACTGGATTTTTCGGTGGACATACACTTCTCGCGATTGCATTGGTTTCTAGGAAATGCATGAATACATTAACTACAATCGGAGGAACTGTTGAACCCATTGCTATATCTTCAAATCTAAATCAGATTCTAAACAGTCATAGATAATATCCGACGCTCTATTGACAGGTACATTAGTGAATAAGGAAGATACATCAAAACTTGCCAATATTTCATCCTCTTTTATATCGATGGTATCGACAATATTCTTGAACTCCATAGTTTTTAATTCCATGATTAATCAGTTTGTCATACGGTTTAAAAATCTTAGCTAAGTATTTCGCTAGATTGTATGTCGGTGAATTTGTAAAATCAACCACTGGTCTTAGTGGAGTATTATTCTTGTGGATCTTTGGAAGTACATAGAATCTACAAGGGTTACAACTCTTCTGATATAACGTGAACCATAATGACGATCCTAGTTTAACCTTTAACGACTATAAGATTTTACTGGTTTTAGCCTTAAGTTTATTAAGGGTTATTCTACTGTTAGTTTCTCTTGTAGATGTTCCCTGGCTTTTTTCTCGTAGTCCGTTTTGTTCATAATAACTATTGTGTTCCCTTTATCTGCTCAAATATAATTTTCACATAGAAACCTTCCTTGTTATTATTAATTTCGGTAAACGTAAAATAAAAATGTCTTCGGATTCGGAGAGTTACTGATGCCACAATATGCTTTATCTCATGGGGCTAGAGAAAAAAACTAAGTGACGACACTAAATAGTGTGTAATTTCACTTTAGATCACTAAATATTTATACTCTAGTTTACCTCTAATTTCAGCTAATGAGAATTTTTTTCCATTGTGGTTGGATTTACTGAAAACAATTAGATAACTGAACTATCATGTCCCTTTTCATTTTAATGTTTGCCTAGTTAACTTCGCTCATTAATGTAAATAACGTGTACCTATTCATATCTAAATTATCCATAATTCAGAATTTAATTAAAATAGTTACAAGATAATTTAACTGTTCTAACATATAATATTTATCCAGATTATGATCACCATAGATTGATGGACACATTTCATTATAGATAGTTCTGATCATTAAAGATCTCATTTAAATTAGAACTGATTTATCATCTATTAATCAACTGAGTAAATAATCTGTCGAAAAGAAAGACAATTCACCTTATTTAGTTAATTTAGTTTCATCAAAAATCTGACAGAAAATGATAACAGAAAATTTAATTAGGTCAAACAATAGGCTTGAAGTGTCATTAATGAAAATTAATCTTATATAACTATCAACAAGATCTAGTAATCTACTTTTACAGTCCAAAATATTGTCGAAAAAAGTCAACATTCAAATGATCATCATTCCATTCTTCTGAATTCCAAGGTTACAATAGTTTATATGTCTCACTATTTAATGTGACTACAACGATCTTTAATAAATATTAGGTCTATAGAAAAAAGATTTTGGAGAACATTTATAGTTGAAGGAAAATTTCAGTTAGTAAACATAAAATAACTAAAAGTTAAATCGTTACTAAGCAAAGGTAAAAACTTGAATTAGACTGTTGTTTCATTCTATTTCAGTTATGTTTTATAATTTATCAACTAATAGGTCCTGGGTTCTAATCTCTCAAGGCGTGGTCGTGGATGCTCATTGCTGAAGAGTCCCACGATAGGATGAAACGGCCGTCCATTGCTTCTAGGTTTTCCATGGTGGTCTAGCTTTAATTGACTCATGATTTCAACTATTGAAATTACTACAATCTACAGAAAATCCCTCCTGACAGCAATGATTTCTTGCTGGATATATGAATGTGAACGAGAAATCGAATATAATAGTATTCGATTTTAAAATTATGCGACGAATTCATTGTGTGTAAAAGTGTAGTCATAAGTTAATTATGTAATCAGTATTGTTACATCCTTTGATTAATAAATATATGATTATAAAGTTTTGAAAATTAGCGTTGCACCCACTTAAAAATCAAGTGAGTAGTTGATATGATGCTAGACAACTATTTCATTCCATCACTGATATATGTCTCAGTTTCTACATAAATTACACCATTCACAGGTTTTCCCTAGAATAGAGTTCCGCTACAAACTAGTCACCTGTAAGAGTATAATCATCCATATCAAGTTACCGTGGTTGATGAAGATTTTTTTTATCTTAGGTTACTTTCAACTATGCGCAAACATCAACTGGATAATCAAAGTAAAATGAATAGGTGTTTCTCCTTAGTTTTAGATTTATTAGAGATATGTTAATATGCTCATATAATCCAACTCTTCGGCATTTTTGCTAAACTGAATCAACAAACATTTCAACTCATCAGTATACACAAACTTTCTTAACTGAGAAAGCGTTTGACAGTGTGGATAGAAGAAACTTATGAAGCCTTCTTCAATACTATGGAGTACCTGAGAAGATAGTTAACATCATACAGGACTGTGATAACGGACTTCACTGAAAAGTCATGCCTGGGATGCAGCGCACAGGTGCATTCCAAGCAAAGACCAGTGTTGGACAAGAATGCTCACTCTCTCACGCTTTCTTTCTTCTGATGGTTGACTGGGTTATGAAGGTCTCCACATATTAAGGGAAGCACGAAATATAATGGACAGATTGGATGCAACTAGACGATTTGGACTTCACAGATGACCTAGCTCGTCTAACGCAAAAACAAAACAGATGCACGTGAAGACAGCTGATGTAGCAGCAGCATCTGTAACAGTAGGCCTCAACATACACAAGGGAAAAACCAAGATCCCCTAAACACAACAAGAAGAACACCAACCCGATCACACTTGTTGGAGAAGTTCTAAAAGATGTAGATGAAGAACCTGGAAAACAGCACCATCGATGAACAAGGAGGATCTGATGAAGATGCGAAAGAAAGGAGTGACAAAGCAAGGACAGCATTTCTACAGTCGGAGAACACATGGAAATCAAAACAACTGTCAGCCTACATCAAGGTTCGAATCTGCAATACGAACGTCAAGACAGTTCTACTGTACGGAGCTGAAACCTGGAGAACTACTACAACCATCATCAAAAATGTACAAGTGTTTATAAACAACTGTCTACACAAAATACTCAATGGCCGTTGGTCGAATATCATCAGCAACAGCCTACTATAACAGATGATAAATCAACTTTCAACTGAAGAGGAAATTAAGAATATTGGGGAAGTCAACAAACTGCATCACGAGACAAGCATTAACTTGGAATCCTCAAGGCACATTACAACAACTTGAAAAGGGAGTCCACAACATAGCTGGATGGAGATATTTGGTGGATTACCTATACTCCTCCACGAGGGGTAACAAATGTAAGTACATATAAAAATTAACAGATTCTAAAATGACTTCTACAAACCACATTTGTATTAAAAAGTGTATTTCAATTCACTATTTTACAAAACTTCCAGCATTTTGAGCAACTATTTCTAGAAATTTAAGATTGTCTATTTCGCATATTTCCATTCTTTTAATCACCGTAATATTATTGCATATACTTAGTAGCATCCGTATATTCAAATTTATTTAAGTGAAATCGAAAGATTTTCATTGGTTATTTGAAAATCAACTGTCACTTTGGACAACCAATCAAATGAAAATGACAACCATTTTCCTAATCTTTGACCTTGTATGAATATTTCTTTTTATTGTTTAGATAGAGATAAAGTAGAATCATTCCTACATATATATGACAAAAGTTTTAGTATCCAATATATTTAGGCTGTAAAACAAAAGGAACTTAAAAAGAAACATGTCAGAAACAGAACAACCTTCAACTTCCGACGGATTAGATATTGGAGAAACGAAAGGAGCTACATCAATGAACGACGTAACACGCAAAGTATTAATGCCGGTCGACGGAAGTGAACATAGTGAAAGAGCATTCAATTGGTATATGGATAATCTTATGAAAACAACTGATGGTTTATATCTGGTTCATATTGTAGAACCGTTATCACCAGGATTGAATTACAATCTTGCAAGTAAATCTCCCTCTATAAAAGATGATTTTTCAAAACATCTAAATTCTCTTGTTGAATCTGGTCGTGCGTTACGTGCCAAATTTTTTACACGTTGTGAAGATAGTGGTTTATCAGCAAGATTTACCATACATGTTGGTACAAAACCAGGTGAAAATATTGTACGTATCGCCACTGAACATGGAGTTGATTTAGTTATTATAGGAAATCGTGGTATTGGAACAGTAAAAAGAACCTTTTTAGGTAGTGTAAGTGATTATGTTTTACATCATGCCAATGTTCCTGTTATTATAATACCACCGCCTAAACATCCAAAGAAAAAATAAAACGATCCTATCTTATTTCCTTCTTCCTCTTTATGAACAGATTATAAAAAAATGGTTTGTGTTCTATGTTGTGTTAGAATATTTTATTAAACTGTTTATCTTAGCGTGGTGTTATCAATTTATAGTTTATAATGATATTATGGTACGCATATATCTATATACATATGTATATGCAAAAATCATTTTGAATCAGATTTATCCCATTTCATAGTACCTCATTTATGATCAGTGTTCTCGTTTACTGAAAGTAAATTTCTTTTAAACGGTACGCAAACATTCAATAACTTCCAAGTACTTTGTTTATTCATAGCAAATAAATGCAAAGAAAATTAATACTGAATATATGTTATTTTTACGAAACGATATTTGTTTGCTAAGGGAATTTCAAACAGACTTATCTACCTATGTATTTAAGGTATGTTTTGGTTTGATGAGAACAAGCTATTTGATTCCTAAATGATGCCTTAAACATTCTTTATAATATGACTTATTATCGAGATATCATTAGTTTATTCATTCTATCAATGTTATAAATTTGATAAAATACAATCAAAATAACTTCAACAGCAAAGTGAATTCCATTTAATGCCAAGTTAAATGAATTAAATTAATTTAAAAGGTGTAAATTCAATCAAATAGGGAATGATACAATTACTTTTAGATAAAGTCTTACGGTATTACAATATGATTGGTCTTTAAAATTTTAGACCATTGTTTTTGTTATATAAAACATGTTACTCTTTAGTATAATAACACATGAATTTAAGGAAATATGTAGTTGAGTAGTGATAAATTGAAACGAAACAGGAATTCATCGTGTTTTTCTGTCGTTAATTGTTCCTCAGCTTTTATCGTAAAAAGAGGGCAGTCACTTAAACAATAGTTTTAAACTGATATCTATATGCATCAAGTGTATTTTCTTTTAATATATCAGGTTTAGATGCTATTTATTCTTATTAAAGATAAATGAAGTAAAATTAGAAATCGTTACTGTCATAACATGATGCGTTATAAAGAAAATCAAGTGATTTCCGTAATCATGTTTATTCAGCTTACCTGAATAGTAAATAATACTATATATTGTTCCGTCATTCAGCCCATTACACTCTTAAAATTATAGATTTAAGACATTTAATTGAGCCTTAACGTTTTATCAAGCTTATCAATGAATTTAAGTTACTTCTAGATAGATATGTTTTTTGATGAATACATCCCACTTTGTCCTTACAACTTATTAGTAGTTTGATTATAAACAAACTACCCGATCAGCTTTTGTAAGCTTCTTTAAAATTTGTTGATTATAATGAGCGCACCTTCATAAAATAGAAAAAAAATATATTTGTAGGCACTGAGAATAACATGAATCACTTGAGAAAAATTTTCGAACAGATCATACAGTAGTGAACGAGAACATAGGTTAAGACAATCGTTTATTTGATAAAATAGAAAACCCATACTTCATTACTTTATTTGCAAAATGTTAATTAATTGTTTTATACTTCATTGTTCCTGTATTTCTACACCAATTACTTTCAGTTCTCGTTCTTTCCTCTTTGATCTTAAACTTCTGCTGCCAAGTATTCTATTCCTGATTGGTATTATATACTACTTATGTCAACATAAGTAGCACACACCACAATACTAATAGTCTTTAGCAACTGGCCCCAGTACAAATAATTTTAACAATATTTCTGTTAGTATAACTATCTAGTGAGAAATAGTTGCATAGTATGATGATTAGAATTATGATATTTCCAAAATTCAATAATTTCTCGATCAACTATCTCAGTTATGACATAACTATTTCTAAATGTTATAAAATGAAATATTTAAGATATTTATTTTGCTTTCATTTAACGTGATCTAAATTATTTAACCACAAGGATAACAATGATATCTTAGTATTAAAATCTTATCCAATGGAATTTACATTAAATTTCAATTATCATAATTGTAATTAGAAAAAGAAGAAAAATAAATAACTTCTAGCCTAATACTTCATTAGTGTATTAATATTTCTATCTGAGGCGATTCCTGTGCAGTTCGTTGATATAATAATATGACATTTGTAGTTTTTAGAATAACTAACATAAAGATGTGTGCCCCTATCCTTCCGAGTTCTTATGGAGCCGTTTAGCCGAACAGCACATGGACGACTGTTAACGGGGATCTATTCTATTAGTGCTTGTTCTGTCCTCATACTTAGTGCTATGCCTACACCTACTAGTCCACGAGAACTAGCCTTCAGGTCTACAGATACACGGAGTGTGTATCTCGTCGGCTCTCCGTTTTGTCGAGGTGAGGTCAAGTGAATGAGCACACTAGGACACTGTATGCGTGTTTCCGAGATACAGCATACATCATTCGCACGAGATTCTAGGGTTTTAATCAAGGGGCCCGCTGTCCTATTTGATATAGGTTACGTACGTTGAAGGCTCCAATGAGTAGTTTGCAGTGAGGTTTCAGTAGACCTGGGACAGTGTTCTGTGCATCAAAATCCGTGGCCATAGTGACACTTGATGAGGAAGTCAAAAGAGCAAGTTTAGAGTTGAAGGTCGACACAGGAGGAATAATAAGAATTGAAGAGGAAGATTGATTATGAATACAGTTCTCTTGGTTGCAGCGGTTCGTTCTGTTCTACTTTACGGCTGCGAAACATGGCCATTAAGGGTAAAGACACTCGTAAGCTACTAGTATTTGATTACAGATGTCTTAGAAATATTGCTTACATCTGCTGGGATCAACGGGTAGGTAATAATGAGGTTAAACGCAAGGTATTAGGGAATGTTGGTAAAACAGTCGTTGAGGTTGTAAATCTTCATCGACTAAGATGGTTGGGCCACGTGTTACGTATGCCTGAACACTGATTACCACGACGCGCAATGCTGACCAGTGTTGGAGATGGTTGGAAGAAAGTTAAGGGCGGTCAAACCAAAACGTGGCGTCAGTCCTCGAAGTCTTTAACTTCTGGTCCGAGCCATGTCGGTAGGTGCGGATCACTTGGTTGGGGCCCGCGCGACTATAGTAACCAATGGTTAGAGACTCTTGGTGACATGGCTCAGAATCGATCACAATGGCGTCGGTGTATACACTATCTATCTTCCCTTAAATTATGGGATTAAAATCGCTTCATATCTTTCTACAAACTAATTCTTTCTTCCTATACTATGCCCTTATATGCAATCTTTCTTTTACATAATACTGTCATTGAAGTCACCAATTCTATGAATTTGGTGTTCATCTTGTTTTGCTAATGAGGTATGGCAAATTGGACCGCTGCACATATGTGCCTGGTTTTACGTTGTAGCCGACCGACTTACTGAAATAGAAATTTGGCTATCTTACTCTTTCATAAATTCAATTGTTTGTAATAAAATCTATAATAAGCTTTAACTATTGAATTCTTCTATGGTTTAAAAATATTTTGATTACTATGAGATTAAACAATGTTACAGGAAATAATATATTGGATCTTCATTATTTAGATTTAAAATGAAACCATAATATTTTATGTTTTCATTTACGAAAAAAAACATTTTAATAGTTGCGAATAGTTATTAGATGGATCGTAAGTTTACACTCTGAGATATGAATGACTCTAATCAACTTTCTATATTGTGAGAAGAATATCAAATGTTAAAATAATGAATCTAATTGATTATATTTTAGTGGATCGGGATCTGACTCCAGTTATATCGCATGTTTGATTGTTATTAAGATATACATATCACTAATTCTCGTCTACAATTATCGAGCTAAATCGCATTAGTGAATAACGGAATTAAATAACTCATACGAGAATAGATGTTTGAATACGTATGTTTTGTACTATCGGTGATCGGAACAGATAGTCAGAGAATCGCAGCAAACGAAACGAAGAAGAAAGAGAGAAACGAAACAAAATGATGCGCGGTGGAAAAGGTATGTGAGCCAACTCCATTTAACCCAGCTTTAATCAGTATTTATAGGCAAACAAAAATAAGTTACAGACATGTGATGAATAGGATAAGTAGTGCACACACATATGCTCATATAAGAACAGTTAAGGTTGATAAGTGAATAAATAACAAGGTCAAGACGTGACTCAAGAAGAATGAATAGATTGGCTTATCAAGAAGCTAGAATAAGTTATATGGGCTTAACATAGTAATTAACACTACAATATGATGGTTATATACGTCACTTTGTAAAATAAAGTTTATCATTAAGCGCTTTAGTTTTAAATACTACAACGAATTAGTGGAATGACTTTTAGGTTAAAAGCTATATTACAATTTTGAGAATAAAACTTACTGACATTTACCCATATCAGTCGATTAGAAATCTTGTAGTGATAAACTGAATACTTCATATTATTGATAATGAAATTAGATTTTGCTGGTAGAATTAACCAACTTAACACGTTGGAGCTGTGAATATTAGAGTAATTTACTTGGAGTCGTTCAGTTTCACAGTCATAAATCATAAAATCGTATTTGCATATTATAACTCATCACTGAAGGTTTAAATAAAAATGGTTTTTCTAAGGTGACTTCAGACATGTTATATGGAATATTAGCGTGAGACAACAAAATACAGATTACTTTTAAAATATTCAACTCATATACTTTATCAGACGCTTGATCACTACCTTATAAAGTGAACACAATTTCTAAAAAGAGTAGTCACACGGATCTTTTTGAAATTATTGTTAATGAGGCTAATAAATTATTACTGATAGCTTTGCTTTTATTCGATATTAAATCAACTACTCCTTTTAGTTTAAGAACATATATCTGGCAATATAAAATTAGTTCGATAAGTTCCTAAGCTCCAATTAGAAGGTCATTAAGCTAATAAAATTAATAAGGTAAATATTTGTAGAACATATCAGCTAATATAAAATCACCATATATATTCATTTTTATTATACTGAACTTATATTTATTCATTCCAAGTTAATCTGGAATAGATTATTATCATAGATCTAAGTGAAAAACAAATAAAATCAAGCAGATTGA